TTTCCCTAAGGGTTTGCTGCAGTGACTGTCACTGGAGAAGCCTTTGGACTACATCCCATAGTTTCACTGCTGGTTAATTAAGCAACTCCATCTGATAGAGCTTTTCTGCCTTTCTAGTGGTTCTGAAAAATTCTCACAAATGAATGGGAAGCAGGTGTTTGGGCTACATGTTGGCAACAAGGATCAACAGCCAGAGCAATCAGATGTGTCAGATAGTTGTGAGCAGATGAAATCCTGATAGGACTGGTGATTCATGCAATCAGCTGTGAACCACATCCATTTGCCTAAAATACATATTATGTATTTGTGTGTCAGAGCTGTTACTTTCCCCATTGAATCCTCTCACTACAAAAATGTAGGTTTTAAGCTGGATTTACACTGTGTGAGTGGGATATTACATTTCTGTTTGCTTTCCTTTCTCCCTCTCAGGATTTTCCTTAAGGAGATAGAAAATTGTATTGAAAACCCTGAGCTGCTTGCCCGATGCTTTTTGAAAAGAGTAAGTAAATTCTTTTGCAGGTTTTTATGAGTATCTATGATCTTCTCCTACAGTGCTTACAGATTCACTCCTATCCTGCCACTCTGCTTTTGTGAATGAGGGAAACTCACATATGCAGATATTCCCAAATTAAACCACAATGAACAAGTGTATATTCCAAAATCTGAACCTTTACCTGACTTACTGACAAGAGATCTATTACCAGTGTTTCATTAATGTATTTTAAGCCCTGGTAAAAAAAAAAGAAAAAAAAAAAAAGAAAAAAGAAAAAAAATCAGTGATCCAAGTTTTTAACATGCTGTTCATAGCAGACAAATCTATACCAGCAGCCTGATGTACCCCAGACATCACCCTACTGTAAATAAGAGATGAATGGTATCACAGCAGATCACTCTGAGTGCAGACAGTATATCCAGTTCCTGCCTTTTCTCTCTCTTCTCTGCACCATTCAGAAGACTTAGTCCCCTACAACTGGTCCAGTAGAGTCTACCACCTTCCTTGTGTGGTGAAACCCCACCAGCTCCATAAGAGTCCGTGAGGTTGATTCCTTTACATGTTCACATAATCCAACAAGTAAGTGGGATTCTCCCCACCTGTATGAAGTGCTGTTGGTAGTCGTTGGTTTGTAAGTAGAGTAAGTTCCATTTCTGGAAAAGGCAACAGGCAGTGGCAGCTTTGATTGGGTGCATGTGTCTTCACTTCTGTGACTTTCAGTTCCCAAGTTTTGCAACTTTCTCCTCCAGAGCTCCCAGTCATGTCCCACCCTCATTGCCCCTCCGAATTAGCATGACTGTTAGTTCTGCTTCCTGTAACATAACAAGAGACCTTGTTTATATTGCACTCATCCAGAGGCCAAACTACTACCAAAAAAACTGTTTTGGTGGTTGATACTGTTTTTATAGTCTGAGAAAACTGTTTGATAAACAAACTGACTGTTTTTTTGCATGGGAAATGGAAGAGGCATGAGAAACAGGAAAACCTTTCCTCTCTCTATAGCCAAAGGTACCTCCTGCATCTGCTGTACATACTCCATCTAGTATTTGCTGCTTTTCCAGGGTACATATTGAATCTCCTGTTTTCAACAAGGTGCTGTATGAAATACAGACAAATTTGGATGAACTATACATACCCCAGTTGTCAGAGGTGTTGGGCACTGCCACATCTCTAAGATTTTAATGGGAATTATGGACTTGTGACACTTCCAAAGGGTAGGCCTCCAATTTATAGGTCAGACTGAAGAACATCATATGAGTGTAAATGTGATTATAAGTCCACTGAATTATTTTCTGTTTAACAGGCAGCATTTAGAGCTTGAATAAATAACTAAGGAATAGTAATTTATTACATTTATAATATGGGAAAACTAATTTATAATTAATTTATTACATTAATTAATTATTAATTAACTACTAAGGAATATGTTGCTATCCTGAGATTCAGATGCTGAGCAGGAAAATATTGTGGTGAAATCATGATGCAAAAGAGGATAAAAGCTCTTTGATGACTGCAGACCTTTGAAATCCAAAAGCATAAAATAATCTATATGCCTGGATTTGAAGCTAAAGAGAAATTCTTGTTACATAATTGATCCCATAATTCTGCAGAATGTTCACGTTTCATGTTTAAATATTGTAGCTTCTGTCTCTCTGTAAAAACAGCTGTCAAGCCCAATTCTCCTCACTACTTTATCAATATGAGATCAGAGCACTAAAACTACGGTTCAGGTGTGAAGTGAAAGAAAATCAATCCTTTTGTCACCTTTGCTTATCAGTTTCTGTGGCCTAGTCAAACAGCTCTAAATCTAGTAAGAGGTTAAATCCCACATTTGCTTTCTCCCTGTTTCAAATTCTGCACTAAGGAAGCAGAAGTCTCTCTCCTGAGATGTCTCTGCTCACACAGTAGCACCTTTGATTCAAGAACTTGCCCTTATGTTCTGTTTGTAGAAGAAGCCACATTAAGTCCAGAAATGTGTTGTTTCTGTTGGACTGCCTTTAGGAGGCACAAACAAAAGCCTGGTTGTGTGTTTGTGTTCCCCATGATCTGGCAGCTTTTTATGTCTTCCTGCTGAGCAGAGGCTTCTGACTTGCCCCAGGATTTAGGACTGTGCTTGCTTTGGCACGGGGGAAACTGAAATGACTGCTGTTCAAGGTGATGCTGAGTTCTGGGAGGAATAGCATGTGGTTGCAGATTCACTTCTCCATTTCTCCTTCTTTACTCTGGGTGTAACCATCCTGCCACAATGTCGTGGTGGGCCTGTGAGTAGAAGCAGACTGATTTTTAGAGTCATACTTGAAGAATGTCTGACCACACTAAGACTTCTCAGCCCTGATTCCAGAGCTGCCTGAAAGTGTCTTGAGAGCTGCAGTGGGACAACCTGGTGCCTGAGTCCCTCCCTCCATCCTCTGCCAGTAGAATGTGTGTATAAACATTCTCCCATCTCCACCAGTGCCACCTGGTCATCAGTCTTCATGGATATGAATCCTTCTTCTCAGGTGCTGGCAGAAACAGACTGTGTAGTCCCAGCCCATTTGTCCTCTCTGGCTTCTCTGCTGGACCACAGTAGCAGAATCGGATGGAAGATGAGGCAGAAATCCCCTTCTTTTCCTCCCACCCACTTTGCCTGACCCTGTTAGGGTTTGACCTTCGCATGAACTAAATTCCAAGCAAGGCAGCTCAACTTTGCCCACATGGCATCTTTTACACCATCACCAAGATGCCTGATCTTGCTTAAAGCTCAGTGTGGCAAGGACTGCACAGATACTCAAAGAAGGGATGTGCACTCAGGGCCTTTCAGGATGGATCTTCTTGTGCTTTATCAGCAACAAGAGGGACTCTTGTTGACTCTGGTCAGCTCTTCTACACACAGGGCTGGGAAGAAGGGAAGGCTTACCCTATGAAGGCACAGGAGAAACAAAAGGTGTGTCAGACTGCTTACTAACATATGCCAGGTGATGTGCCTGGCAGGAGTGACTCACTGAGCATAACCACTATTTACTTATTCATATTGCTAACCTTGGAAGAAGAGAATAATTTAATAGGAGCCAGCAGTTGGTCATTCAGGGAGAAAGGAGCATTTAGAAAAGGCAGCTATCTGTGAAAAGACTGTAGACACTGACCAGAAACTTGTGAGTTGGATTCAAAGGGCTAAATTCTAACCTGAAGCAAAATTTATTCATAAATTAGCAGTCAACAAGGATAATTAGAACTGTGCATATATGCCATGTGTATGAAATCTTAAAAGATCTCAGGATGCAAATCACTGTGGAAAGGAAAAGCATTACAGGAGAGATGAGCGTGATGTAAAAGTACCAGCAAGAGGTCAGAACTTCTGGATATAAAAATAGAGATGTGTGAAACATTCAAGACTGGGGTTTGAGTAATTAGGCAATGAATTATTTCTTGGCATTTTAGAGTCTGATCCTAGTAATTTCATCAGGAATTTCCTATTCTTTACACTATTGCAAAATTTAAAGCTCTATTTAAAGATGAGCAGGTGTTACTCCTTTAGGCAGCAGTAGATTGCATTAGCATAGGGTTATTACCAGAAATTGCCACAAATTACTAGTAAATTGTTGGTTATCATACCTTTTCTTTAAATTTAAATTAGTGCTTTTATTCCTAACAGTGCTCTTGATTGTCTCTGTCTGTATTCTTGCCCAGTCCAATTAGGACTCTGTGGGCCAGAAAGAAATTGTAAATCTTGCTTACACTTTGTTATTGCTTTCACTTTTGTGGGTTTTACCCCCTGCTAACTTCCCTCTAAGGCAACGTGTACAAACAATTCTTTTTGTGTGAAAAAACTCTGTGCTTGTTTTGAAACAGCACCATTAATACTCTAGTAAATTGGAACGGAGCTTTTTGATTGTATAATCCTTAACACAGGAATGTGTTGCCTGGCATAGCTCTGCTTTCACATCTGATCTGTCAGGATGGTGCCAATATAGGTCTAGGGAGAAAGACAGCAGCGATACTGATTTCTCCTAATAACTCGATCCAAAAGAAAATGCTTTCACAACACCAAGAGTGTTTAGGCACCATGTAGCACAGAGACCAGTGTTGTCATTGTCTCAATCTGATTTTTGCCAATGACTTCATTGAGAGCACCTGGGAATGTAGTCAAAGGTATATAGAGGTCAGGTGAATCCACCCACTTCTACTTTGGGTAAGGCACGATTTAAGCACTTCCCTCTGCTTGGTCTAGGACATTGACAAGACAAATTTGCTACTTTTTAATTCATCCTTGTACTATTGAGAGTTGACTTGATTTTCAAAGAGTTTTAAACATGTAAAACTTGGCCAAGGTGTGAGTATTGTTAGTTACTAGTCTGTGCCAGTACTGTTAACAAAATTTACGTTTCTACTGTTTTTTCATTTTGAAACCAGCTACTCCTGTGGAGTAGATGTAGAATCTATCTCTGATGATAAAAGTTTTGCAATTAGATTGTGGCTTCCAGTCTGCAGTCTCCTTGCTTTGTGCAAAAAGTGAGGGGAAAAAAAAATAAATAATTATCCCTTTTGGGTGTATTTAACTGTACAGGAGTAAAATAGCAAGTTTGGTAGCTTCAGTAGACTTCTTACAGTTATCACTGTGTATTAATTACTTCATGTGTTAGGATGGAAGATAAGAAAAAGTGTGACTGAAGGCAGATGCTCTGTGGATTCTTGTTTTTTACCTTACTTAAACTCTCCTTTTCTTGCAGAAAGAGGACCTCCAAATATATGAAAAATACTGTCAGAACAAGCCAAGATCTGAAGCTCTTTGGAGGCAGTGTGGAGACAGCATATTTTTTCAGGTGGAATTTCATTGTGGACTAGCAGTGCAGGACCTTCAAAGCTTGTTTTCCTTCTGTATCTCTTTTTTCTTTAGATAACTTAAAGAAATATACAGACTTTTCTGCATGTTTCTCATACTGATGGCAGGTGCTCAGTATGTGGCAAGGTGCTCTCTAGAGGGGACTAGGTAGGCAGAGTAGAAGGTAGATTTCCTGGACAGGAGCCTGAGTCTCCAGGCTATACCCAAAGCAAAGAAGTGCTGGCTGCTTTGCAAGCCCCACCTGATTGCAATCTCGTGAGCAGGGCACGCCAGATTTCAACACTAAATTAAGCCTAAACATTAGCTCTTGTTTAGATCTATTTCCACTGTGGCATAAGTAACCTGGAAACTCCTATGCAGATGGAACAAATTGCTTCTCAGCTAGTTTACAGACATATAAGATTCAGATTACCTAATGATAATGATCTTGGTATCTTGCCTGTGCTTTAAGAAACAACTGCATTTTTCTTCCGTGTTGTCTCTTACAGGAATGTCAACGTAAATTGGATCATAAGCTCTCACTAGATGCTTATCTCTTAAAGCCGGTCCAGAGAATCACCAAGTACCAGCTGCTGCTAAAGGTAAGTTCTGTGTGACAGTGCAAAGAATTCCAGCATAGCTTGTTTTCCTTATAGAGTTGCATAACAGCATTATTTTATGAAGGACTACCTGGAAATAAATCCTCTCTCACTTCTTCAACAAATAGTTTGTGAGGCTAAGTTGTAAAATGGTGACAAAGAAAGGGACTCTATTTCAGAGTAAATATTGCTATTACTTAGCAATACTAATATACTAAGTAGTAGCAGTATCTTATATATATACTGCTATGGATATATTATTTAATTGTCTTATTTATTATTTGTCTCAAAACAGAAATTTAATTTGGCTTTTTTTGACCAATATATGGTTTTACGATTCAAAAATTGGAACTGATGTTTTAAATCCTGTCTCTGACATCTGTTCCTGTACAAAAAAACTCTTTCAGCTCTCTGAACCTGGTATTTTCCCATGGTTGTGACTCAGACATTTCAGGAGGAGCCACTCCCTTTTAGTGCTTCTCTTTTAAAGACCCAGTTAGGAGAAAACTGTGACTTTTCCACATGATGAATATGTGAACTTCCTTCTTGATTTTGTTGGAACTGTGAGTGGTCCATGCCTGAAATTCTGGTCTGAACTGGGCAACAGGAAATATATGCTCTCAAATCAGATGGTGGCTTAAATTTCTGTCCTCGTTATCTCAGCTCTTAAAAATATTTACTGACCTTCCTTATGGGAAAGTCATGAAGGTGAATTCCATGCTCTTCTAAAGCCTCTGGACTTAATGTGTGTTGTGTACTGTTGTGAAATTTGCAATGAGGATTTTAGGCAGCAATTTTATTTGCAAATAGCTACCAGGTGAAATTGTGCCAGTTTAAGCATGTGAGGAGCTGACTGCTCATTCACTTGTGCAGAATTTCTGTAACTTGTTTATTCACTGTACACAAGCCTCTAGAATCCAAATATTAAAGTGGAATATTAACAAAGATGCAACTTCACTGGCTTTGGTAGATTTGCATCGATGTAATCCAGAGGTAAATTTGGATCTATTTTGTGAAAGTGTTCTGTGAGAAGGATGAAAATGTCAAAGTCAGAAGATCAAGAGTAAACCAAATTCTGCTTCTAATTTGAAATAAGTCTGTAAATAAAACCAAGATTAGATCAGGGAGTAAAACTCTCAGGCAAAACAGATTGCAGCCATTGGGGTTGAAGCTGGTTATACCAGTTTTGTACGTAGCAACAACACATTAGCATGGACACTTGTCAGGGATGATGGGATCTGTGAAGATGTTACACTCTT